AGTACAGTATAAATTTCAGGACCTCTAGCCTTTTTGGTTATCTTAGTATGAAAATTTCATGGCTTTAATTTCATAGTGTAAACCTGGGAGGCTGAAGAGTGAACTTTAAAGTTGAACATAAATTTTCAATTTGGAAAATGAAAAATTCTTCTACATATATGATATTGAGTGACTCACAACAATATTAATGTGTATGTACTGATCAGGGTTAAACGTGTAATTTTGCTATGTGTATTTTACTTCAAAAATGAAATAATGACAAATCACCATATAAAAATTGTACATAAATGACAGAAGTGATTAGGACAAACTAGCTTTATCTGAGTAGATGAAGAACCCAAAGTCTCTTGAGGACATTTGTATTTCTTTTGTCTCCTTCTTCCATCACAATTGGGAAGTCCTTAGAGACTGGGATGGCATGGACCAACGTGGCTAATTATGAGCTAGCTCTGTGCACTGAGCCCCAAGGTCACAGAGTAGTTAATAATCAGTCTCCAGCCCTTCAGTGAATCCAGTCCTGTGTCCAGCTCCATACCAGTGTCTCACGCTCTACTGTTGGCTGTATCATGAAGCTCCTATGTGTCTTTGCATTAATTTCAGTCCTGAGGAAAGACATAGCCTTCACTGGGCAGCAGTCATAAGAGGGTCTTTGCATCTGCTCTCCTTGACTGTGATCCAGCAGAGAAACAGCATCACCCAGTAAGTGCAGAAGGACCTGATTGATATGAAAAGCATACTTAAAAGTGTTGTTTCCTTATCCTGAGGAGAAGCGTGACATGTTTGGTGGTCAAAGGTGAGGGTACAAATATGAAAAATATCAGTTATAAGGAATTTAAATTTTATGATCTTTGTTGTAGCAGGGAAAGCAGAAGTATTATTTCAAATTCGCTTTCTACCCAACCTGTTTCTACTTCCACTGATATCTCCCCCATAGCAGCAGAAAACGTGCCCTTCTGCAGTGTCTCCAAAGTGCTCTAAAAGGATTATAAAGGTGATGATCAGGATATAGAGGAAGACAGTAAAAATAACACCAGGAACTGGATTTCAGGGCTTCCTATCTTCCAGGCACTGAGCAATTTCTTCTATGTATCTTATTCTACTTCATGTTCTCTGTCTTCCTGAAGTTATGATTGCTTACATTGTTATTGCTTGTAAACAAAAAAAGGAGAACCTGTCATTTTAATGGCATCTTCATGAGTTGTTATGTAGAAAAATGACTTGGTGGGATTGGGTTGTCTGATTCCAGACACGAGGCAATTCTGTTACGTTGCCTCCTAGCACAAGCAGACAATTAATTCTCTGTCATTTCAGGAGAGGCCCCTTGCTCATTGGGCCCTTCCTGTTGGAGTTTTCTGAATGCTCACAGACCCGAACAGTGAATGGCCCCACCTGTGTTCACCAAAGACAGATGTGGATGACAATCAAAGATCTGAGAGAGGGCTTCCTTGAGGATTCAGCACAGATTTCTCTCCCAACACCGCTGTAGGATATTTTTGGGATTCCCACATTCTTCTCCATGCTTGCACTTATTTTCCACCAACTGAAATGTGGAAAAATCATGTCTTGATTCCATTTCTTTTGAGTAAAAGTGATAGTTACAAATGTGCCTTTAAAGTACCTATGATTATCAACTCTGTACCTGTGCATAAATCTTTCTGTGAATTGGAAATAGAGAAAAATTGGAGTGTATGAGATACACTTTCACTTTATTTAAATCTTTCAGTTTATGTTTTAATCCTTTCAGCTGCATTTATTTCCACGATGCAGGGGAAGTTTTTAATATCTCTGAGAGCATTGTCATTAGCATTAAATTTTACTTGAAGCGACTCCACTAAGGATTATGCAGATGAGGAGTACTCTATTTAGGGTTCATGTGTATGAAATTAAAGCAAATTAAAATTTAGCTATCATTACTATCAGTGCTAAGTACATTCTTACCAGTTATCTTCTGTGTCCTGTAGTTACTCCTTTTCTATTCCTGTTGCAGGACTTTTCCTTTGTGTTTGTGTGATTATATCATATGTGTGGAGAGGAATGATGCACTTTCCTTCACAGAAGATTTCCCAGACCTATAGCTTGTTTGGCACAGAGGAGACATCAAAAATGTAAACCTGTGTTCAACATTAAATGGACCCTTCCCTGAATCACAATACTTATCTTTAGTCAGCATGATGTGACGATGCTTAGTACCTTACTGTCTGCAACTCATTTCCTTTCACAAAGGCAACATAGATGTAAAGACAAAACAAAATAGCTTTTGTTATTTTCTCTGTGTCGTGGCCACATGGATGCTATAATCCACTTAACTGTATCTCTATAAGTTATTTGAAAAGAAAACAACAGAGATACACATATGGTTACTTTTTAAACCCAAAAAGAGAAGGGAGTGGGTAGTGACTGCCTCAAGCTCAGGTAGATTAAAAAACTTCACATCCTTTCAGGCTCCAATGCCATTTGAATACAGTATACTATATTTAATAACATATACTACATTTATATATAGTATATATAGTATATATTATATGGTGTACATATTATTGTATATAGTATAATGGTATATATATTTATATATACTATATTTTAAAAACTTCTTACTTGCTCAATATTCAGTGTACATCTTTGTTTTAAAAACAAAAGCTCACTTACAGGAACCAGTGAAAGCAGTCCTATGAGGAAAATTTATAGCAATGAACTCATTTTAACAATTTTAACATGAGTGACAAAGAAAGAACTACAAGAATTTTGAAAATATTATAATAATAATTCACTTACAAGGCAATGAGGCCTCTCTCTCCCTCCCCTCCCATAAGGCTGCAAATTGGTTTAAGAAATCCTAAAATCACTACTTGTGTATATATTCTAGTCTATTTGGGCTGCAACAGACATTCTGTACCACATTACTTAGATGAGTTTTAGTTCACATTTCAGTAAATGTTTAAGAAAGTTGCTTGTGGATTCACAAATCAGTGCTGACCTGGAAACATTGCCAAGGAAATTTACCCAGAGGGGGGAATATTGCAGATAATTAAGTTAATTAGATATCTTGTAAGCAGTTAGACAGGGCCAGCCTACAAGGAGCCAACATGGAGGAGAGTGAAGACACATTCACTGAAGTCTAGCATTGTAAAAGAGAAAGTAGCACATCCATGTAGGATGAATAGCAGTGATTGATATTCTAAACAGGTATCAGTAACCTGGATGGGGGGCCAAGTTCTTAACCCAGCCTCTCCAGGAAAGATCCCTGACCCTCACCCTTACTGAAAATCCTTGTATGCTTGCTACGTGACTTGCTCCCCCATTTGATCCCCATTTAATCAACATTACCCGAGTGACTGTACTTGTAGTCTTATTGGTTAGTCATAGTTTTGTCCCACCTCATGACCACCTTGTAAATTTCCATTGGGTCTTATAGTATTGTCCCACTTTGTACCCGCCTCACCACATGGCTCTGCTGTATAAAACATCTTTGAACTGCGGGGTGGGTGGGCAACCCACTTTCCTGTCCCCCTTCTGTCTCTCTTAGGCAGAAGGTTTCTTTCTTTCAATAAATTTTTCCTCCTCTTAAAAAAAAAGAAAGAAAATTTACCCATAAAATTTATGACAACACATTCCTCTGAGGACTGCAGAGCCAGAGAAATGATAGCAAGTACTCAAATTTTTAGGTAATTGTTCAGATATCTAAAGAATATTAGTAATGATATAAATATTATTAAATATGTATATGTTAATGTCTATAGATAGCATGAGTGGGAAATTTTCTAAATGCCACCAAATATTCTCAGTCAGGTTCTCAACTCTCTTGTTTAAGAAAATGACTTAAAAGTTTGAAATGTAAATATTCTGATTAATATATTAGGCTAAGCCTAGCATATCTGGAGATATAATTATCTCCAGATAAATATATTTCCAAATTAGAATCAACAGTGATGCAAATTAAATGATTTTCAAAATATTTTCTTACAACATCTACATAAGGTAGGTGATTCTTATCTTCATTTTACATACAAGGGGAAGTATATTATTTGCATGTGTGTTTACAAGATATCACATAACTTTTTCTATTGCAGCTGAGTTTTAAGGTGTGTTTACAGTATTTCATGTACTATTTTGGGCTTTGTCCCAATTAAATCACAGAATGGCCTGACGAAAATATGGGTCCCTAGGGCCAGAAATTTAGCTCAGTGGCACGGTACCTACGTCCCAAAAACAAAGTCCTGAGTTCAATCCCTGGTACCAAAAAAAAAAAAAAAAAGAAAGAAAGTATGGGTCCCAGTTTCCACCACATAACTGAAATAAGAAAGATTCAACTCATCTATCAGGAGATACTGAAATGGAAATCTGTTGGTTAGAATTAGGAAGGCTGGGACTCAGCCAGGGCCTTAGGAGTTTCTTTGTTTCCAATATCATCAACTGGACATAAGAGGGTTTATGATTAGAACAGCAGCAAAGCATTTTATCAAGCTATGGTATACTACAGAGTCAATAAAGAGATGTATTATGTAGCAGATGTTTTACAGATATTGTATGATTAAATGCACCTCCATAAAATTTTAAAAGGCTAAGATGCCTCTTATCATTTAGTGTTTTCATTGACAAATACAGTGTACAATAATGTATACTTGTGGTAATTATGTCTGAAGGTTAGGTGCATATAACTGAACCTGCAATATACTGAACCTGCAACAAAGACAGGATAAAAGTTTCATATTGAATAATTTATACACAAACACAATTTATGCACAATTTATTTACAACAGCATGGTAAGCCCTTCCATCCCTAATAGATGAAATCAGAAACAAACAAGAAAAGTGAGAAATTTATTACTTTTTAGCACAATGGCTCAAAACAAAGAGTTGTGATAGAAGACAATTAACTTTAATTTAATTTTCAGATAATGCAGTCCTAGATCTTATAGTACTTGTAGACACCCTAATTAAGGAAATCTGAGGCATTTCATGAGTATAAAATATAGAATATTTCATTGCTTGTCAATTTTCTTTCAATAGGATCATATTTTCTTAAAGGGGAATGGTTTAACTACACTATACTTTTTGCAAAATAGGTGACCACATGTTACTGTAATCAAGGACTTTGGAAATGTATGTGCTTGGTGTGCCTAAATGGTGCAGTAGAGTATCAGTAAAGTAAGAGGATACAGAGGAGGTGGTAAACAAATCACCCAACACTGTGTCCTTGATGGTGGGGTTTATCATTAAAATAGAGCAATCCTGATGAAGGCTGTGGATTTCCGGTGGAAATTCTCTGCTTCTAAATACTTGAACTCAAAATATATGCAGAGTTGTGTGTGATTTTTTTATTTCATTTTTTCAATGAAATTTATTTAAATGTCCTCAAGCAACATGGAAAGACAGAATCTCACACATGTCTCAGAGTTCTACCTCATGCGCTTCTCAGAGGATCCAGACCTGCAGCCCATCCTGTTTGGACTGTTCCTGTCCATGTACATAGTCACTGTGGTTGGGAACCTGCTCATCATTCTGGCCGTCAGCTCTGCTGCCCACCTTCACACCCCAATGTACTTCTTCCTCTCTAATCTATCCTTCACTGACCTTTGTTTCACCTCCTCTACAGTCCCAAAGTTGACTGTGGACATCCTAACTCAGAGCAGAGTCATCTCCTATGCAGACTGCCTGACACAGATATCACTTTTTATCTTTTTTGGATGTATGGAGAGTATGCTTCTGACTGTGATGGCCTATGACCGCTTTGTGGCCATCTGCCACCCGCTCCATTATTCAGTCATTATAAACCCTCATCACTGTGTCTTATTACTTTTGCTGTCAGTCTTTGTCAGCCTTTTAGATTCACAGATGCACAATTTAATTGCCTTACAAGTTACCTGTTTCAAAGATGTGGAAATTGCTAGTTTCTTTTGTAACCCTCCTCAACTCTTTGACCTTTCATGTTCTCATACCTTAATCAAAAATATAGTCACATATATGGTTGGTATCCTATTTGGGTTTTTTCCAATGTCAGGGATCATTTTATCCTACTATAAAATTGTTTCTGCCATTCTGAAAATCCCATCATCTGGGAGGAGGTACAAAGCCTTTTCTACCTGTGGTTCTCACCTGTCAGTTGTTTGCTTATTTTATGGAACAGGCCTAGGAACATATCTTGGTTCAGCTGTGTCATATTCTCCCAGCAAGGGCATGGTGGCCTCATTGATGTACACTGTGGTCACCCCTATGCTGAACCCCTTCATCTACAGCCTGAGGAACAGGGACATCAGCAGCACACTGAAGAGGATCCAATTTTGGAAAATCTAATCCTAGGAATTTTGCCATTTATTTGGAATGTAGTTTAGAAAATGTGGTAAAAAAGAAAATCCAAAAACTTATCTGTAAATGCTTCCTTCTTCATTTTATTGTTTCTGAAGTTTGTTGTCTTTAACTTTATATGATGTTTCATTACAGAGTTATTGGTGTTAGAGGAGTAGTATTTGGTGTTCTTAATGGAGCAAATTTCAGTTGGGAAAGTGAAAAATTTCTGGAGTTGGGTAAGAGTGAGAGTTGCATAAAAATATTATAATATATGTAACCCAACTCTGCATCTAAAATTGCTTAAAATGGTACCTTTATATATGTATATCTTTGCAGAATTAACAATGGAAATAAACAGGTGGAGGCTTGGTTTAAAAAGGAAAAAATCAACCAAGATAATAATACCCTTAAGACTTCTTCTGTGTAAAGGAAGAGCCCAAAATTTTTGGTGACATTCATTTTTTAACTTTTATTGGATTTCAGATATTTCAAAGATTGTAATAATAAAGACTAATATGGGTAATTAAAAGCTGTGTGCATTGACACTTCAAGGTAATGTGATATGACATAACCTATCAATTCTTCTAGTGTTTGTTTGACATCTTGAGATGTCGTATCTCCTCCTTCATGTTCATCTAAATCAGGAAGCCCACACTGGACATTGTCCATATCAATTCTCTGGGCTGTCCTTGAGCTTTTTTTGGCCTTCAGCAAGATGAGGAGTGCGGGATATGTTTGCAAATTCCATAGTAGACACACAGCCTAACTCAGAAAGTAATGGATGAAGGAAGGACTGTTGGATACATTTCTTCCCATCATGAAGATGTTTGGAGAGTGAGATGGGATAATTGTGAACAGTTTCAGCTCAGACAAATGTGAAATTTATCTACTTGATTGTTACAGGAGACCCAAAATCTCAGTCACGTTTTCCTCTCCGCATATACTGGTCCTGCTTCTCATAGACATCTAACTCACAGTAGCATACTATGTGTATCAGTAAATTATTTCCTCAGCATCTCAAAACAATTATGGTAGAGACAAGGAGGACAATAGTGAGGATGAAGATAACTACAACATCATGAAGCAATAACTGAGGATTTCCTTAATGGCAGCATCTAAGTTATGCATTCTATGCAGTTTGTTTCATTATATGTGCCCAATATTTCTGGGTAAAACCTAATTATTATTATTTTAAAAGGAAATTGGGGCACTGCATTTCATGTAATAAATTACAAGTTTTTGGATAGAAACTAATGAAGAAATATTTACATGAGGCTGTCTGATAACACAAACAGGGCATTTCACTGAGCAAACTCTGACACATATTTCCTTTGACAATCCAAGCAACGATTTCTCTTTCCTGTACCTCCAAGAAGGACCCTTTCTTACTGGACTCTATCATTAGGAGTCCCAAGTAGATCACTGTGGAGAGAGGGGTAAAAACTGCTGCATGTACTTTAGAAATAATATTTAACTTGAGAAGTAAAGATCAAAAATTGAGAAGGTGCACAATGATTAGTTTTGATCTCATGCCTGTCCCCCACTCCATGTTTTCCTTGAAGCTGTCCACATCCTGTTCTTGTCTTAGAAATCATCCTTCTCATGCATACTGAGGCCATACTCTTAAGTGAAATAAATAGGACATACCTGTGTAAATACCAAATAATTTCTCTAGTGTGAGAATCTTATACTGTAAATAAGGGTTAAAATGATTAAAATGAATAATTGATCATTTGAAATAGGAAAAAAAAGGTCCAAAGATGTAGGGCTGAAGGGAGGGGAAGAGGCAAGGAAAGAAGGGAAAGGAAAAATTATGAGTAAAGGAAAAAAATGGAAATGATCTCTATGTAAATAGGGAAGGGTGGAGGGGGTGAAGGGCACACAGGTAATGGGGGAAAAAAAACCCAAGATACATCATGTACAGGTACAAGCACCCAATGATAAATGTAAATGAACTGTATACCTAAAATGTACCAATAAAAGAACTTAAGAAAAAAAAAGAAAAGAAATCATCTTTCTCAATATCTACAAGAGAAATCAATTCAGGTTAGATTTCTCTCCCACTCTGAGAACTGAAAAGAGTTTAATTTTCACATATATAACTACAGTGCAAACATAAAAGCCTCTGCTGAAAACTTTATGATGGTTCAAAAAGAACATGACTTGTGGATCAGACACAGAGACTGACAATTTCATGAGAAATCTTGTCCCCACCCCTTACTAGTATGGAAAGTGTAGCAGGTTGTTTTTATCTTTGACAAATGGATTCATTTCTAGTTTATATATTGCTGTATGAAGCATGGATTATACATATAATAAATGTTCCTGCAATTATTAATAGGTAATGAATATATATTATAAGACTAAAATTCAAAGTAGATATCAGTAGAACAAATGATAGAAGATTCAATTTAATGACATTCACATAAAATATTCAGGTATCTCAAGTTGTCATTTTCTTTTTCACATAATGGGATATTTATTATCTTCTTCTTGCAAATATATGCATGTGTGTAGAGAAAATTCATTTCTGACTCCCCAATTTTTATCTCTATCCTGGCACACAGGAGTAATTAAAAACAAAAAACCTTGCTAAGTAACAAGTAGACTATTTTGGCTCACAATAAGTGGACAGTTTTTCAGAGATCAGAGCAAAGATTTTCATGGATATAAACACTACACACATAAAAAACAAGGATGTAATATCATGAATGGGGCATCATTGATGTAATATCATCAGTGGGGCATTTTACATCATCACAGTCTCCAGTCTCCTTAACTTGAATTGTCTAGTTGCGTTTAGTGCTTTATTTGAATGAAAACCCACAGTAACTTAATGTTTGAGTTCCAAAATTCCTTTAGGTGTGCATATGTTATGGAAATGGGTGATAGTTTCTGTCTTTCCACTGAGGAATAAGAGCAGAGAGAACTGTATATATTTATATACATTGTACATTTATTAGCAGGTAAATACCACATATTTTACAGATGAACTTCCCAACTATCATGCCACTTTAGAGTCTCCTCTAATGCAAGGTGAAATGTCTTAAACAGTAATGATACAAGGATTAATACTAGACATACCTAGTCCTAGACACACTTCAGGGAAATTTCTGAAACTATACCTTAAGAGTAGTATGATGTATATGATATGACTAATTATTTATTGTGAAACAAAGTGATAGTAATATTGAGTATACATCACAAGGTGGAGTTAAAACAAACAACGTCCACTCATAGTGCCTGGTAATTTTCACTTCCGTGAAATGAAGACACGCACAAGAATGTTGAAAGAATACCATCATAATAATTAAGTAACAAATTGCATGTCCTTTCAATCTGACAAAGCTGAGCATCAATGAAAGCACTGGAAATAGCATAAGTACTTCCCAGAGAGCCTTGAATCTCCACGTGCACATAACCTAGTACATTTCTGAGGAATAGATATGCTGTAAATTGCATAGAACATTAATTAATTTCAGTGTATATTTTCTAGAAAAGTGCTTATGGGTAGTAAATGAATGTTAAGTACATTTGAGGTAATGTTTTTGAGAACCTGTTTAGTGATCCATAAGTTCATACTGTTATGATGACATCCACAGTCAGATCTACTTACCCAGTTCTTGATGTGGATTGCCTTTTGGGATAAGTGTGAAAAAGAATGGAGTTATGTATAGATATCAAAAACTAAAGTTTAGTAGATAATCCTTTTAATCTGTATGAAATATCAATGTTAATGGTCTCAATTCACCAATCAAAAGAAATAGACTGGCAGAATGGGTCAAGAAGCAAAATCCAACAATATGCTGCATACAAGAAACA